CCTGAGCCGGTGAGATTTGAACCGCTGACCTGCTGATCTAGCAGTAGCCTGCAGTGCTGCATTTAACCACTGCGCCACCTTGGCTCTTGATATGCGAACTTAAAATCATTTACTTGTTTTCTTTTTTATTTAAAAGCCTGCAGTTACTGTTATGGGAAAAAGGCTATTGTGGACTTTTTTCCTATATTTCTCCTGTTACTCATGTCCATTCATGGTTTCTAACCATGTCTTAACCATGGATTTTAGGTCCCAAAGAAAAGAGGACAAGGACACCTAAGGTTATACTTAGTGATATCACAGTCAGTGATGTTCTCTTAATTCTGTTATATTTTGTCTTATTATCTTGTACAAAATATTAAGAAAATATCCCAACAGTGGATGCCAGGCAGAAGGAGAGCCCCAAAAGGGGGAGAGAAAATAGATATTCATTCCAGTCTTTCGCTAAGAATTTATAACGTCAAAAAACTTAATATGTTGGAGAAATGAACTGAAGATAGACATAATAATACTACGGGCAAATAGAAAGTTCTTCACTTATGAAAGAAAACCAAATCCATAGATGTAGGAGATGATAATGATATTTATGAAAAGGTTCTTACAAAAAAAAACATTGCTTGCAAACAGAATGTGAGTCAACAGTGTGATGTGGGCTGCTGCAATAGACAAATACATCTTTTGGATGAATCAATGAGTAATTTCTAAATTACTGGAAATAATGCTTCTCAATTCTGCAGTGGTCAGCTCTTCACCTATTGCATCCAGTTCTGAGCACTATACTTTCAGAAGGTTTCAAAGAAAATGATTGCAGACTGGGTCTGGGATGATCAGGAACTAGAAAATAAATTCTATGGCTGGAGATTCCTCAAAATAATACATTTAAATGATAAGAAGGCAGGTTCTGGTTGAATGTTTTAAAAGAAATATCTCAAAGTAACCAATTATTTCCCCTTATGTTGAGTGTGTTCAAGTTGTAGCCGAGTACCAATCTGTCTAGCGGGGGATGGTCTTGATAGCCTGACTACCCTCTTCCAATTCTCTGGTACTGAAGAGAGCAGTCAGAAAAGAATTCTGGAAATGAAATCCAATTGTTATCTTTGGATATTTTTTTCTTTTTCATAGAGCTTTCTTTTGACTGCATCACTTAACTTACTCCTGGAGGGAAAATAGTCTCTTCATATCTTTTTTTTAAAGATGTAAATAAATACATAAAGCATGCAGATAAGGATTTATTATCTTCCAGATCTTACAAACCGTGTCATACTGTGCTTAGTGCTCACTTAAGCAAGTTGACTTATTTGGCATGTTGTAACTTATTCCAAAGCTGCTTATGATGTTCAGTCATATTGAAAGAATATCAACTCCTATACTTTATTCCTCTTTTTAAATTAACTTCTCCCCAAGGTTGTGTCTTCTGTGCCTTGTCCTAAGCTCACCTGGAATTAAAGCCATTGTTTTCAACAATGTGTGTCAGCGTTCCAAGTATCATGTAGAATTAAATCAAAGTCCAAGGCAAAACGATCCTTAAAGTTCCAATTT